ACTGAATTCTGTAGTTTTCTATCAGCTCAAGGGATCTTACACCAAACTACATGTCCTGATACACCTCCACAAAATGGAGTTGCTGAGAGGAAAAATCGTCATATCTTGGAGGTTGCACGCTCACTTATGTATGCTATGAATGTGCCAAAGTTTGTACGGAGTGAGGCAGTGATGACGGCGGTATACTTGATTAATCGTACGCCCTCTAGATTGCTTGGTTGGAAAACTCCTTATGAGATGTTACGAGGAGTGAATGAGTTTATTGTTCCACCTAAGGTATTTGGGTGCACTTGCTTTGTTAGGGATCACAGACCTTCTGTGGGAAAGTTGGACCCCCCGAGCGGTTAAGTGCATATTTGTGGGCTATTCCTCAAGTCAAAAAGGCTAAGTGTTGGTGTCCTACTGAACGACGTCTCTTTGTTAGTATGGATATGACATTTCGGGAATCTGAACCTTACTATGGGGAGAAGACTGATTTGAGCTCCTTGTTTGAGCTTGGTGAACCAAGCATGAGCATGTATGAACAAGAAGGGATGGATGGCATAGATGTAGTACAAGATAATGAAGGTCATCAATCAAGGGCAACAGAAGTTATCACAGGAGTGATTCCATTGTGTGTCGGTAATTCTAATGTGAATGAAAGACAGGAAAATAGAAATGTTAATAACATGAACACAAAGCAAGGAAATAGAAATATTGTGCAGGTTTATACTAGAAGAAATAAAAATGTTGGAGTGCTACCAGTGGAGCAACAAGTTGAGCAACCACAACTGGTGGAGCAACATGTTGATCATTCACAACTATTGGAGCAACAACAATCTTCAACTAGTGGTATTGACATTGGTGATAGTGAGGTTGAGCAGTCCACAGAGACAGGGGGAGAAGTTGACTCTTCCATTGATTTGCCTATTGCTCTAAGAAAGGAGGCAAGGAGTACAGCTGGAAAATCTCCAGTTAAGTATGGCTTTGAGCATGACATAAGTAATTATATCTCATACGAATCATTATCTCCCGCATATAGAGATTTATTGCTTCATTACAATCTGCACATATTCCTAAAGATTGGAAAGAAGCAAAACATGATCCCAAGTGGCGTGAGGCCATGTTGGTGGAGTTGAGAGCCCTCGAAAAGAATAAAACTTGGGACCTTGTGAAACTACCTCCAGGAAAGAAAGCTGTTAGTTGCAAGTGGGTCTTCACTATGAAGCAAACACCTGAAGGTAAGATCGAAAGATACAAAGCTCGACTTGTTGCAAGGGGGTATAGTCAGACATATGGCATTGACTATGATGAAACATTTGCACCTGTGGCAAAGATGAGTACAGTGAGAACTTTGGTTTCTTGTGTGGCGAATTTTTGATGGCCTTTGCATCAATTGGATGTCAAGAATGCTTTCTTGCGTGGTGATCTTCAAGAGGAAGTGTATATGGAGATTCCACATGGTTTCTCTAATCCTGGGGCAATTGGGAAGGTGTGCAAATTGAAAAAGTCCTTGTATGGTCTCAAACAATCTCCACGAGCATGGTTTGACAGATTTAAGCGTGCATTGTGTGGCATGGGATACAAGCAATGCAACGGAGATCATACCGTCTTCTATAGACATTTAGGGCGCAAGATTTCGGTGTTGGCTGTGTATGTGGATGATATTATCATTACTGGTGATGATGAAAAAGAGATCATACTACTCAAGGAGAATCTAAGTAAGGAATTTGAGGTCAAGGACCTCGGGCAACTCAGGTACTTTCTTGGCATTGAGATTGCACGGAATCCAAAAGGTCTTGTTCTTTCACAAAGAAAGTATGTTCTAGACTTGCTAAGTGAGACAGGCATGCTTAGATGTCGACCAGTATCAACACCGATTGATTTAAATCACAAGTTATGTGCTGAATCAGGTAATCCAATACATAAAGAAAGGTGCCAAAGGCTTGTTGGGCGCCTTATCTATTTGTGCCATACGAGGCCTGACATATCCTACGCAGTGAGTGTTGTGAGCCGGTATATGCATGACCCAAGAAGTGGTCATTTGGATGCTGTTTACCGAATCCTAAGATATTTGAAGAATAGTCCGGGAAAGGGGCTCTTGTTTAAGAGTCACGGTCACCTAAATGTGGAAGGCTATTGCGATGCTGATTGGGCAAGTTGCCTTGATGATAGGAGATCAACTTCAGGCTATTGCATATTTGTTGGGGGAAACCTAGTGTCATGGAGGAGTAAGAAGCAATCAGTAGTATCACGTTCAACTACCGAAGCAGAATATAGAGCTATGTCTCATGGATTGAGTGAAATGTTATGGGTAAGAAATCTTTTGTCAGAGTTGAATGTCCTAAGAAAAGGACCCATGAGAATGTGGTGCGATAACAAGTCTGCAATCAGTATCGCAAATAATCCAGTTCAGCATGATAGAACCAAGCATGTGGAGATAGATCGCTTCTTCATCAAGGAGAAATTAGATGATGGGATATTAGAGTTAATTCATGTAAACTCAGGTGGTCAAATAGCTGATTGTTTAACAAAAGATTTAGGAGTAAAAGAATGTAATTTAGCATGTAGCAAGATGGGAATGATAGATATCTATCACCCATCTTGAGGGGGAGTGTTGGGCTTTATCTGTGCATAAGTGTGTAAAGGCCCATGAGCCTATGTACCATGTGTATATGTAACACTAAGCAAAGACAAGAGAGTTCCAGAAATTTCCCCAAATATCAACACGTCTCCTCACCAGCAAGCAGTAAGGCTTGGGGAAACACCACCAAACACACTTGTTACGATGAATCCACAAGTCCACATGCCAAGAATGACAAAGGAATTGAGGCCTTTCTGTAATGATACCCAGCCTTCAAATCGATTATTTCCCAATGCCCACCAATCATCAAAGAACCCCTCCCCGATCTGCGGGGCAAGGAACTGCAGTCCGACTCTTTGTAGAAGTTTGAACCAGAACTTTCTTGCAAAAACACAAGACAGGAGCAAATTGTTGATAGATTCTTCAGCTTGATCACAGTGAGGACAACTTTTTTTTGAGCATAAGGTACAGCAGGGGCCCCCCCACTGTAGAATTTTATTAAGAAAAAGAGAAGTGTACATAAACCAACGCAGTCAATAATTGGCTGCACATGCACCTTTGTTAGCTTCCTCAAAGAAATTGGAAATTCCGAGGTAATTGCAAAGGAACTTTTACAAATGTTTCCAAAATGAAGAATATATGAGGATACAATTTTGCTAGATTGATGGAAGGACACCAGCCTATTAGACATCAGAACACCTTTTTTTTCCATTTATAAGCGCTGTCATGGAAATGCACATGATACAGCATTTTGATATTATTAATAAATGAACCAACGAATAAGAGAAAAAGTAGATCTGTAATCTAATTGGCTACCGGTTAAGCTGCTCAGTTTAGTCTAGGTTTCAATTCCAACAGTCTGTAAACATTTTACAAAGTTCTAAGCTAGGCTGGGCTGGTAACGAGTGATTTTATCCCCTGGGAAGCAGGTACACAGGCAATACGCAATAGGGGAGCTGTCTACATGGAAATACAGAATACTTCCCTAACACATACTAGCTGAATGCCCATCCATTGCTATGCAATACAAAAATCAGTTGGCTTAACACATCCAGCCATTACCGTGAGCTCTGATTGTCCTGTGCAATGCCATCTACTCTTTTGAGGCTCTTAGAACTCTATTTTAGTCAACTATGTGGGGTTTGGGCAAAAATAAAAGTTTTAATGGAAAGGAGAGGGGAGGTGAAAAAGCGGTAACATGAAATTAGTTTGGATTTATGAGATGAATGTTATCAAGAATTGGCTTGACGAGATATATTTTGTTAAAGAGTTTCCTAGAAGTTGTTTGAGGAAGCGTATTGATTCCTAGAGTTGAGGGAGATATATAATTTGATTTACAATTACTTAGATGAATCAGTTTCCTTGTTTTCTAAACTTTTACTCCTAATTTTCAAGTGGTGAGAGGCTTTGTTTTTGTTGTTGTTTCAAGTGGTGAGAGGGGAGCCTAGAACACAGAATGGACACCACGTTTCATCTTAGTAGGAAAGATAAATATTAGGCAGGGTGCAGGCGAGGTCAACCCAATTTTGAAAAGCTTACTTAGTCAATCTAATATGAACTCAAGGTATTTCTCGGATGATTTTTTTTTGTGTGTGTATCCTTTTCTTGATATGTAGAAAATATGTGATTGGGGTCTATGGATCTGCTTTTTTTTTTCTCAAACACGCAGGAGAGCTGTGTATCATTGTATTAAGAAGAAGAAAAAAATGGGTACAGAACCCTTACAAACAACACTCAACACGAGCCAAGACCAATCCCCAATAGGGATCCAAGAAGTAGAAAAAACCTCAACTGCAAAAAGCTGACAAAGACCAGCCCCGACAACCCTGACCTAGCCTTCCTCAGGTTCTAGGGCAATGAGGTAGGAAATACCACGTGCCCCAGCCAAACCCCAAAATTTCAGCTCATCTCCAACCAGGACCATGATCAAGGAAAGACTTGGTGAGACTCCATCAAAAACACACAGGTTGCGGAGGTTCCAAATAGACCAAGCACCTAAGATGATCAATGAATTGAGGCCCTGCCTGACCTTCCCTTCAACCCTGGAATTTGCATCAGACCACCAATCATCAAAGGATGGGGCTGTAGGCTGCGGAGAAAGGATCTGCAACCCAACCCCTCGGAGCAACAAGAACCAGAAATCTTGGGCAAACACACAACCCACTAGCAAATGGTTCATCGTTTCAGGCTCCTGGTCACAGAAGGGGGCAGCGGGTTAGGTGTGGTAATCCTTTCTTTTCAAATCTATCAGCTGTCCAACATTTGTTGTGAGCCACCAGCCACATAAAAAATTGACATTTGCCCGAAGCCCATGATCTCCAAATTCTCTCGCAGGGACCAAAAAGGACGGTCCTGTTTATTGCTGTTCTATTTTTTAAATACATAACTGTGGCATTGTTTTATTCCCTGTCATCATACATGTTTTTTTTTCCATCAGGGTGATTGTTGAACTAGCTATTCCTTGTGTTGAAAGTGGTCCCAGAGTATTTAAGGGTTTCACGGTGGGCTTCCATCCCCGGTCATCAGAAATTGTAAGTTCCTCTTGGTTTGTTTGTTAATTATTGCTTAAGCTAGTATTACAGGTCTCTTTGGTCTTCTTAGGTCTATAATGGATTCACTCAGCTCGGATTTGAACAACCTCATCATGGATTTAGGTACTATTTTCTGTCAAAGTAATGTTCAAATTTAATGAGACGACGATGTTTGTTTGGCCTGAAGCTTGAGGTTATCTTTATAAGTCTGTGCAAATGTGAAATGGAAATATTAATTGTGTTCATGCAAGTAATCTTCAAAATGTAACTTTCAGCTTTGTAGAAGGTCTCACTTTGTTTTATAAGGGTTTCCATAAGATGTAAATCTATAAAGTGTTATACCAATTCTGTGGTTATCACAGCTTATCCGCCAAGATGCTTTTATAACTTCTAGTTGATCATTCAGAATGTGGAAGAACTACATGATAGGTCAACAGGATCCTAATTAGTGACTTTAGGTAAGCTACAATTGGAATACAGTAGGATAGGTGTTATTAGAATGCAGTCTCATAACTCATAAGGGGCATAGACAATAAGGATGATAGGCAACCTCTGGATAACAAGACTTGTCTTTCTTCAATTAATTGCTAAAGTAATGCTATTTCTCACTTCATCTACACGAACTTCAAACATAAGCCCCATGCACTTCTGACTATTATTTTTTTTTCTATAATATATTCTTTAAAATCCTTCAACTTTATGAGATTTTACAAGTATTTTCATTTTTCAATATAATTCTACGGCTATACTTACATGTTTTCAAATTTATAATTTAAAAGTTATTGATATTTGTAGTTTTTAAGGTTTGATTAAATCTTGTCCTAAAGAACAGTTTTTTATGAACAGAGGGAGTTTATAGGCTAGATGTCCCTGTCACCTTTTGAGCTTTATATTTCTATATGAACAGGATGCTGCTAGTTTATGTGAGTAGGTGCTAGGACATCTATGTGAATTAGTTAGCAAGCAAAGCTGATTCTTATGCAGTATCCGCATTATTTTGAAACAATTTGGACATGTTGCAATTATGGATCACTTATGTGACTACGAGTTTTTCTTGGGATCCTATTCCAATACCTGCAAAACTTTAACATTACTCCTAGAATTTTTACTCCAGATTGTAGTCCTTACACTTTTAATAATTATATATCTGATTATATTCCATATTAGAAAATAGAAACCTGTACTATTTCTATATTAATTTCTTCAATATTCTGTTTCCCATGCAGCTTCCAGACCGAGCAGATTCATGTGTCTCTGTATCTTAGCGCCAAGTCCTCACTCTCAGGCCTCGTTGGAAAACCGACCTTCAAGGTAAAATGTAAAACAGATTTGGGGCTGTCAAAATATGACGGGGCAATTGTATGGTTGCCCCTATTTTGAACTCCAACTACCTATTTGGCCTCATTTTTCAGACCTCGGGTCATTGCCCCTAATTTTTTAAATTGAAATTTTGCTTTAATCTACCTCCATTTAGTCCACTTAACTGTATTAAGTCAACATCCAAAAACATTTCTGTGCCATCACTGTTCCAGCATTACCCTGCTCGTTTCCAGCCGCCCATGCACACCACTTCCGCGGTTGCCTACCTGTGCGGCCACCCACCTCTGCCCACCCGCAGCGCTCCCCGGAGCTGCCTGCCTGTGCACACAGCCGAATGCCTCTGCCCGCATGCCGTTGACTGCCTCTAACCATAAATAGGCATGCAACATACCACCTTTGCTCGATTTTGGTTGGAGTGAGTTCCATTTTGGAGGTGTGTGGGATGAATTTTAACTGGAAAATACGCCTGCCCCAGTGTAACAAAGAGGGACAAACAGTGTACCCCAGATTCATATAACAGGACTCATGGAAATTTAGAAAAGGAAGGAAAATCTACAATTGAACTCCAAACTAAGTGCAAGATTACAATTGTCCCAAATATGAGATAAATATCTTTATGATTTCGTCCATTATACTTAAAGGACCTTTTCCATCAGGTTTAATGCTGTTATGCATATGCATGTGACCTATGTTTTTTTTTTTGCATTATTGTTCTAGGCATTTCAATTAAAGCATCTAACTAGTTTCTTTCTTAAACAAATTATCAATTAAAAACAATGCTAACTTTTGTTCATTCACTCTTTTGTTCAGTGATATATTGGTGACCAAATATTCACTTACATATGGATATTATTTTTAATTAATGCATAACTTTTGCAAATGAGTGCACTGCTGTCAAAATAAATTCAAGACTGTTGCCATATTAGTGCTAATTACAAGGCCAGTTGCACAGTATACATGTAAAACTCTATCTGTCACAGGTTAATCCAGTGAAAGGGCTTGGTGTTACACTTGCAGGATCAGGATTCAATGGTGGCATGCCTAGTACCCTGTCTCCTACAGTTTTGAATGTGGACTGGAGATGTTAGTTTCTTCCTTGTGTACCCATTGTGATGCTTTATGCAACTTCAATAAAATGAACTCTGTTTTCTATGTTTTGTAGGTGAAATTGCCCGAGCCAGTCCTTATGAGGTCAATATTTTTATCCCAGTGGAGGGCTATGATCCAATTGAATTTACACTAACGAAAAAATGTGGTTAGTCCTAGCCATAGAATCATCAACTGTGCCTATAGACTTTTGTTCATTGGAGATTCTGCATTAGCTTCGTTAGATCTTTATTCAGGAAAACACAGAAGATTGGTCTTATACAATGTTTAGTTGAGATAATTTCGCACTTAAATTAGGTTAGACACTGCAACTATAGAAATTCTAAAGGTGTATGATTATTTGGACTTCATAGTACCATTCAATTCATTTATTTGCATGGAGTGAAAAAGTATTTTGGTGTTAGACTCAAGAGTTTGAGATGCTACACAGCAAATTGTTAAAACCGTTTGTCATCAAATGTTCCCTTATCTTTATTGATTTACATTTACTTATAGTGATAGTCACAGGAAATGGGGATCAAAGGTAGCATTCCACAACCACGCAGGGATATTTTTGTCCCTGCCTTGTAAAAGCCTCGCGAAAGTACCGTACCCCGTTCCTGACACCATTTATCCTGGAACTCTGTGACTAAGAGTGAGATTATATCACAGCATGACATACTCTGATAGAGATGATAATTGTGTTTTTTCGAACACACAGGTGAATTGCGTATCTTTGTATTAAAGAAGAGGAAATGGTAGAAACCCTGTTTCACACCCACACCCTGTAGTTCTCAAAGTACATTTGTGCCTGTGACAAAAATAAACTCGACCGCAACAAGACCTAATCACTAAGTGCTGGAACACTCAAGTGGGAGAGACCCTGCACACCAGCCATGCCCCAAAGCTTGCTTCTTTGGCAAGCAGCAAGTCACCCACCATACTTGTGGCAGTGCCATCAAACACGCAGCATTCCGATGCTTCCAAAGAGTCCAAGCCCCCAGAATGATAAGAGAGCTGAGACCTTTTGCAACAGGCTATTTTTTTTGCCTCACTAGCACTGCCCACCAGTCATCAAAGAATAAAATTCAGAGATGGCAATTATTATTTATCATAGAAGACAAATAGCTTCTGCAAATCTTGTGATATAAGCAAAGTGCATCATGGTTGTGAATAGTCTTGCAATTTTCACTATTTTCATTCTTGAATACATGAGTATGCATATGTCATTGTGCATTCTTTTCCTCATTTTGTATACCAGTATCTAGATGTAGCCTAGTTATATGAATTTGTTTGTATATCTCTCTCCCTGTAGGTTACAGACAAGAAAAAGAGAGTGATCCCATGAAAGGCTGGGCAATATTTGGAATTGTTTCTTGCGTGTATGTGTTTCTTTAACTTAAAAAGTTACCTTCTCAGTGATGGAAAAATCTATTACGGATTTTAACATCTTTTTTTTCTTCTAAAGTTAGTATTTCATGGAAAAATCTATTATTGGCAATTGTTTTTTGCACATATGAATATTTTTCATGGTAATTGTAGTTTCTTTCATGAGTTGTTGTTACTGCTTACTGAAGTTCACTTTTCCCTGGTAGTACTTCCAGTACTATCCCTGGTAGCACAACTATTACTACCATTCTTTTTTGTGGCTCTTGCTGCAATTTTGTTGCCGTATTAGTGTTTACTATTCTGACTGCTGTTCTGTCTATGTGTAGGTTCATTGTCTTGTCAAGCCTACTTTGTTGTGGAGGGTTCATCTACAAAACTCGCGTGGAGCATTTGGTATTTTTTAATTTATTATTTGAACAACAGATCAATACTATTCAGAGTTGGCTTGAAAGCATTTGATATTTTCCCCCTCCACTTCAGTACGGTTTAGATGCGCTGCCTGGTTTTGCCGTCTTGTCTGCCTTTTTGGATGCTGTGAGTGTTCACTTTGTCTTTACTGTTTTGTTGGCTCATCAAATTTTTTATGATCATGCTAGTCGATACATGGTACTATTTACTCACTTATTTGTCTTAATCATTCATCAGTTTGGTAGACCAAGAAGCTACTTGCCCGCAGATAATCCTAGTGAAAACCATGCAAGCCATGCATCTTGGGAGCACGCGGCTGGTACCACACAAGTAGCACAAAGGACAAATGATAGGGCATATGGGCCAATGTGAACTAATAGGTATATTCTGAGGACCATTTCTTGTAGGTTTGCATTCTATTCTCAATTAATCTAGGCTCTTTTTTATCAGACATAATATATGGATACAACCTAGCATCAGCCTATCCAAGATTTTTTCCCTCTGCTACAAGCAAGTGAGCTTATGGAGCGTTGCTAATTATGCCCCCTCTTCTAAATTAGGCCAGTTCGTCCAACTACCTCTGCTCTCTCTGCCATATGTGCAAGTGCAAGTGCTCTCTGTGCCATACGTACTATGGCACTATTAGTGTTGCTTTTGTGCACAAGTTCTTTACATGTTTAAAAATGAAAAGCACATACACCGTCCTTGGTATCATGCTTAATGTCTTATTATCTTGCAGTAGAGTAGGGTACAGCTACTCAAAAATTCTAATTGAACCCGTAGCGTGTCATCAACCTCAGAAAAATTAAAAGTATAAAAAACTAGATATCCATAATCATGAACTACTCCCTCCAGTTGTTTAAATGATGTTTTAACTCTTAGATAAAGGTCCATGAAAGAGTGTCCTTTGTAGCAACCTTGACCTGTTTTCTTAATAATACCCTTCTTGCATGTGTGCATCCAGTGGTAGTATGAAGTATCTGCATCCTTTGTAATGCTACAAGAAAAATGAGTAGAGTAAAATAGGGATTGCATCATCAATGCGCTCAACTCATATTGACCCTATTTGTTTCCGTTCGATTCTCGATTCTCAATTGTGCTAGTTCAAAGTTCCGAGTAAAGAATCATAAATAATCGAGGCGTTTGGTGGGATTCTCGTTTTTTTTCACTATAAGCGGAAACGAACAGGGCCATTATTCCTTTGTTGTTGAGTCCAGCCCCAACATGTCACTTAAAATTTACTGGAGTAGAAGGTAAGGACATGATTATGCAATGACTTAATAAACAGACTATTTTAGAGCAAAAGAAGATGAGGTACATTTCATTGAAAGTTTACAGTTGGCAAATTGGGGGTGGCGAGAAACTGAAATCACAGTTACATCTTATGCCATCACACATTAGCATGTTGACATTTAAACTGACATTCTTTAAATCAAAATTTTCGTCATAAGCAGAGGAACCTGATTCGAACTGAAGCCTTTTGACGACTAGATCTCCTGATTAACCCTATGGCAGTTCTTGCGGATTTCTCCATTGTAACCCATGAGGGGATTTATGTTCCCCATTTTGATTATTGAATTCACATAATGTTCAAAGAATAGTGGCTTGTTTTCTGCATAACTTTTAACTAGACCTGCTATTTCGGGGTCTTTTCCTGTCCACAAAACTTCATCTGAATTAAGGAGCCCTTTTCCCTCCAATATCAGCTTATAATAGCTATTGTCAAATTGTGAAGGGCTGACAAAATCTAGTGACCTTATGTTGTCATCACCACCAGTGCGTGGGCACGCCAATGCCAATGTGTGATAGAAACTTTTTTCTAGCGTGTTTTCTGGTCTGTTATCTCTGTGCTGATTGTAGAGCCGTTGTTTGAAACTCACACATCTGGCCTTTCCAATGGTGTGGCTTCCTGTCAGTGTAAAATAAACTCTTTAGGAAGATAAGAGAATATGCAGACCCAATAGCAACATTTACTATTTATTTTCCATTGTTGTCTAACAGATATTCTTGCTGATGATAGTGATGCATTTCTACTATGTCCTATACAATGTTTTTCTTGCTATACTTTCAGCCCTAAGCTTATAACAAGGAAAATCGTAGACATTATGTACAACTGAACCAATTCCATTAACTATTTTATATCAATGGTTTATTTTTGAGCATTGAATATATCAGTAGAGGCGTTGATTGTTGGTGTGTGTGTGTGCATGTGCCTCTTTGTTGTGTGGCACTTTGTATAATGTTTTTCTATCTTCTTAATACAATGACACTCGGTTTTCCTACGTGTTTGTGAAAAAAAAAGAGCATTAAGATGTGCCAGTACTATACCTGATAGTGCAACAAGGTCCACCTTGTCCAGTCCTTGCCTTTGGAAGAACTTGATAAGACGGTGTAGTGTTGCATTTGGTGGAGGAAGGTTCTTGTTTGCTAGCTTCATGTTTGCTGTCTTTGAGTCCCTCCTTCCTAATGGAAGTTCCCAATATGGTCCACCACTCTGTCAGGTGATAACATTATATTGATTAAATATATCAAGTGGACCTAAATTAATTTTTTAGGGAAAATCTTAATTATTTTTTGTTTGAGGCTACCAGCTTTTAGTCTTTTTATTAAAGAAAATAAAAGAATTATTTTTTTGTGAGAAATCCTGGATATTTTCTCGTCCTGTAACTAGTGCAGGTTTTTGTCACTTGAATGTAGAGAAATTTACCAGTACTGTTGAACCTCTGGCTGCTAGGGCGATAGTGTCAGCACAAGACACTGTATTCGGACATGCTTCCTCAAGTGCAGCTTTGATCTCGTCTATAACCTCAAATCCCCTAATAGAATTCTTATTGGGAATAGCGTTTTTCTCACTTACAACTTCCTCAGTGTCATCCAAAAGAACTGATGCATCACATCCCTGCAATTTCATCACAGAACCACGAGACAATCACGATTGGGATTATTGACTAGAGAACATGAAATCGTGGTTCTAGCACTCAACAATGTTCAACTTCTAACACATGGGCGAACCATGCGTGGTGACTGACTGACTGGTGACTTTTGTTTATTCTGTAGAAAGACCTGAGAAATGAAATGAACTTGAACTGTGCTAACCTGAACAAAGCAGTCATGAAACAGGAGCCTGAGAAGGGAAGCAGCTATCCGTGGTTCCTTTGCGATAGCCTTCTTTAGTATGGGCACCACAATCTCATCAGCTTGTGGGCATGTGAACTTGTAGTAATCTGTAGAAAGACCTGAGATTGGGCCATTTCCAATTGGATGGGCTCCCTCATGGTGACCAGGAGGGAAGGCAAGGGAGCCAGATAAGTAGAAGGAAGCAATGAAAATTGCACCAAGAACTATATTGATTGAAGCCATGAGTTCTTGAATTCTGTTGTGCTTTAGTTTCGTGATTTCTGTTTCCTATTTATAGATGCTCATGTGATTCCACTGCATCACTCCATCCACTCCACTTGTGGAAAGCATCATCTGTTTGCATCAGGTGTACCTGATTTAGAGGTTGCTTTTGTGTATTTTTTGTTACTTATCTGTTACCACTGTCTCATGTCCTATTATTGCCATGTGTGACCTGCCTAAACCCTTGACTTCTCTATTACTAGTTCCACTTCCACATGAGATCATTAAGTTTCTTTTGTAAGGGTTATGTCTGCCTTCCCATAGGAAGCTCCCTGCTGTTTTGTTTAGAGAGATCTTCAGCTTAGCTTGTGTGCTAAGTACATGCTGGAAACATAAACTATTGGCATCTGTTCAACATACTTCTCTAATTAAATCCTGGTAATGTACAACATAAAGTGGTAGTAGTAGCTCCACCCACTCCAAATACATCCTTGTATAATTCAGTAATAGGACGGACAGAGTTGTGCAGGAAGTATGAAGTAACGTGGGTACAACTAAATTGAGTTGTGCATTTAGGTAACTCTTGGGATCGATCTTTTGGTGGTTCATTTTTTTGTGTGAAACATTTCATTAGATTCGGCATAATTGGAAACCTTTTGTTTGTTACAGCATTGGATTCCAGTAAAGTTGAACTTGTAATACGCTTGGGCTCTTGGTTGTTTGGCTACTTGCACATCGATTTTTCTTTGACTTAATGTGGTGCCTAATGAGTTATAGATGTACAAGTAACCACATATACACAGCCTATTCTCCTTTGCAAAAATAATATGCACAGCCTATTATGATCCTGTTTGTTTTGTTCGGTAAAGCAGATGCTTGGTGGTTTGATGGTTCAGAATTCTGAGAAGCCAGCTTACGTTGTGGTTGGGTGCATAGACTTACGTGCTTCGGTGCATAGACGACGCTTGGGAATCCAACTGCCACGAAGTCAGGTTTTCTGCAGTCAACTAGGATATGTTCTAAATCGTGTGTATATTTTTGTACCAGCATGCATTGACCTCCTACCACTACCACCAGCTGTTAGTGGTTAGAGCAGTTAGTAGACCTTCTCCCGGACGGAATTTCTTGGCTACGATCGAACAGAATTCCATTCTTTTAATAGTTGAAGCGTGAGACTGATAGTACCTACCTGTCATTGCAGTACTGTGCTTGCAGCTGCAGCAGAGTTGCAAGTGATTTGAAATCGTCGTACATGCCAGGCAGCCGTGACAATCCCAGCAAGCACCAAGCAGCTATCTGGTAGCACTAGTGGTACCGACGTAATCTGGTGTGCAGGTCAACGGTTTTGCAATGTCTTGGACTTGGCAATTGGCCGGTTATCCGGCAGAAAAGCTTCTGGGTTATGCACATAGGTCTGTTCGTTTGGAGGAATTTGGATGGTTCGAATGAACGCTGGAAGAATTTGTGAGAGAAAAATACTGTTTCGGATAAAAAAAAAAAAGCGGATTAAGCCGGTTTAAGGGAACGTGAACGTGAACGGTGTCAGGAATCCATTGGCCAGCTAGGATCCAAACGGTGTCACCCTAACAACAACTAGATGAAGCCCCCTATAGGCTATAGTTACGTTCAAGTTTCGACTGTGCATATGCTCAAATACCGTACGCTTCCTAATGGTCTGAAGTCTGAAATTGCACGGCTACCAGCTGTGCTGCAGCTTCGATTTGGATGGGGATCCTGGTCTTGTTTAGTTCCTTATCGTAAAGTTTACTCTCTATCCTATTAAATGTTTGACATATAAATATAGACTAAAAAAATAATTAATTATATAGTTTGTAATTAATTTACGAGACGAATCTTTTAAATCTAATTAATTCATGATTTGACAACGTGGTGCTATAGTAACATATGTGCTAATAACAGATTAATTAGACTTATTAAATTCGTCTTGCGGATTACTGATGGATTCTGTAATTTATTTTTTTATTAGTATCCAAACACCCTATATGACATCCTCATATGATATCTGATGTGATACCTCAAACTTTACGTCATGGATTTAAATAAGGTCATAGTTCATAGCTGAGTTAGCTTGTTTCATTGAACATTATGTAATTTATTTTTTTATTAGTATCCGAATACCTCATGTGACATCCTCGTATGATACCTAATGTGATATTCTAAACTTTACGTCTTGGATTTAAATAAGGTCATAGTTCATAGCTGAGTATTAAACATGTGCTAATGATGAATTAATTAGAAGGGGTGTTTGGTTCCTCCTCCTAAACTTTAGTCGTTGTCTCATCGCATGTTTGGATACATGTATGGAGTATTAAATATAGACTAATTATAAAACTAACTGTATAGTTTTGTGACTAATTTGCGAGACGAATCTTTTAAGCCTAATTAGTTCATGATTTGATAATGCGATGCTACAGTAATCTATGTGCTAATGATAAATTAATTAGACTTAATTAATTTATCTCGTGAAGTATTGATGGATTCTATAATTTATTTTTTTATTAGTAACGACTCCTGAATTTTAGTTACCGCATCCCAGTCTAGTATAGAGTGGAGTCGGTCATCCACGCCCGGCATTAAAGGCCGCGCCGAATTTTTCGGTTGCAGCTGCTGCATGCTTTTGCTTGCAACGACTCTCGCAAGTCGCAATCAACTAGCCCGTGGCCTTTGGCCGGCGCCGTCGGCATAGCCCTTTCGTAGCCTTGACTCATGGAAGAAAAAGGTCTCAAAAACGCTGAACAGAGTCTCACTTGGCGTCACGCTCTCATCAACTAGTACAGTACATGGATAGGCCGCAGCACATGATATATGCCCACACGCCTATGGCTAGCTAGGCTCTTGTTTGTTGCAGCTATCGCATCATGCATGTACGATCCCAGTGCATCGACCTGATTAGGAGGACGCATGCGTGCACCAGCTCGCTGTTCTTGGAATGGGATGAACCTGACTTAAAAGGCCAGTGACGTTAGTTGGCTGGCGAGTGAGTTTGTTAGCATGCGTGTAACTAAGGCTGTCTCGGAGATCCACGGCGCAACCCAAATTCAAAAGAGATCTCTAACACAATAGCCTCCAACAGAGTATTTATATGGAAGATCTATTTTAGATATCAGGAGAGATATATCATAAATCTGAGTATCCTCTCTCCTAGAGATCCATTTGCAGAAAGAGTCGTCTTTTAGGTCTTATTGTTAGAGAAGACAAAAAATATGTATTGAACCCTTTGTCTATAGTGCTACCCAAAAGACGAATGAGTCTTGTATTTTGGGTCGCGGTTGTCGGAGACATTCTAACGGGGCTACTAGTCCTCTCTGGTCAATCGCTTGAGGTTGATGTTTTCTTTTATGGGCGGACTGGGGATTGGATCATATATATGGCCGTCATCAGTCGCTGTCAAAGGAAGCGCGACTAATCAGTCAGTGTCTATATGCATGGATCGCGCCGGCTGATGAGCTTTGCATCAGCATGATCATGCGGCGTAAGCATGATCCCGAGTCACGGATCAACAGAGTGTGGTAGAGATCCCTGTTAGTCTGTTACCATCTGTAGGTCAAGGCGTCAAGCTAGCTAGCCTCTAAAGATAGAACAGCCAAAGGTTTCATTTTCTTACCGTTAAGGGAAAATAGTCATTGTACTCTGGCCTACGCTTTCGGATTATTCCTTAATGAGCCTGTTCAATATTAATCACGTGGAGGCCTTAGGCATACAATAGAGATAGGCAACAACTCTTTTATTAAGGGTGTTTGATAGAGATCTAGACTCTTATAAAATACATTTCTCTGCTGAATCAGAATCATTTTGCGGAACCACCGTTTGGCTAACTTGCCAAATTCTCGAAACTAGAACTAGAATCATGAGAAAAAACGAAAATCCAGTGAGTAAGATCGTGAAAGTAAGATCATTAATTTCGCATTGAAACATGGAGTAAGATCATGGAAGTGCTAGCCAAATCAAGCAAAACTCTAACCACCTACTCGAAAGTAGATAGGTTCATATGATTGACGCCATCTCAAAAATCGAGTGGTTGTCCAGATTCCGTGGCCAATGCTGATTAGTTGACTTCAGGGAGCAGGTGGAAAGGCCGTACGCACACTGCCAGATGGAAGCAAACGCAAGAGTTTAGTTACGATAGGCAGACATGGCCCATGTAGTTGCGTGCTTTGAGTTTGCATTTTTCGTATACTCTATTTCTTGGTTCTTGGGAATTTAGGTTCATTGGAGTTTTATGATCGTATTGTAGTAGATATAGATATATAGCTAGGTTGTGATTTGGATTAATAATATAGTGTTGATGATGGGGGTTTTAATTTTAATTATATATATGTGTGCTTTAGTGGCTCAATGCATTTTGAGTTCGCTTTGCCTTGTTTTATACTCCATCTGTTCCAATTGTATGTTGTTCTAACTGTTTTTTAATTTATACTACCTACACCCAAAAAGAATGTAAATCTCGTTTTACGAGGAGCCAGAGAATCTTAAGTTTGACTAAATTTATAAAAAATATTATCTATATTTATATCTCTAGTTAAATTTATTATAAAAATATATCACATGATTAATCTAATAATATTTATTACGCATCATAAACATCAATATTTTTTAAGAATCTTTGACTCATCGAGATGCGAGATTTACATTCTTTGTGGGACGGAGGGTAGTAGTTTTTGTTATACATCTAGACATAATATTTTTTTAAATCACAGTACAACGTAGACGCCTACAACATACACGCACACTCACCCTATGAATATAGGTACACAAACCCTACCCCTATACCTTTCTTGTAGAAGTACAATTATGATGACGTCGCATGGCATGCTTGTAGTGTGTTCTGATGTTAATTGCACGCTTAAGACTGGGTAGTAAAGTGCTGTTAATTTTCTAGAAGCCAATAAACGCGCACCTCTGGACCATAGCTAAAAGCATATGGATAAACTGAAATTAAGCTATCGCTTGGAAGCAAGGGTAGTCTCAAATAGTCAACAAAGCATTCTTCGACGATCCAT